CTATAGATCTAAACGCTCTTATATTTCTTTATGGAGGGTGTATTTTCCAAATCTTTGAAATTACTGAATTTGATCTATTGAAATTCACTTAATTTTTTAATTTGATTTGAGTTGGACCCAAAATTTTGAGCATCAAGATATTTTGGCACCCACCAAAAGTTGAGAAACTTGGTCAAAAATTCGTTTCAAAAACTTGGTCCTTGGTGCGCAAGACCAACCCTACACAGAAGAGATAATTCCTTTTTTTCAGGGAGGAAGAGCGAATTCTTATTTGGCCCCTTATTTAAATGTGCTTCCTTAGTGGGCACAAACAAGACTTTCTTGCCTATTTGACACTACGTTTAAAATTTGTTCCCTATTTTGACATCTCATCCATTTTGGACACGAACGGTGTTAAGTGTGAAATGAAAAGATTTTGCCCCTGGTGTTGTATAGTGCTAAAAAAAGACTAGTATTTGATACTCCCTCCGTTTTAAAATATAAGATGTTCTAACTTTTTTTTGAATCAGATGTGTATAGACGTGTTTTAATGTGTTTATTCAATCATTTCAGTCCGTTTGTAGTCTATATTAAGATATCTAAAACATCTTATAATAGAACGGAAGGAGTAAAATGTCATATTTATGTGTGCTGCTAAACTTATTTTATTTTATATTCTGTGTGTTGCTAATTAAACCAGTCCTACGTCATTGATTTTATAAAATGTGGACTGGTTTAAATTTATTTTATTTTATATTCTGTGTGTTGCTAATTAATCCATACAATCCACAATTTATGTTCTGTGTGCTGCTAAATTTATTTTATTTTATATTCTGTGTGCTGCTAACTTTCGTCATATCTACTCCTGGAACTAATCCATCGCCAAAGAACACGTGAGCACCACACACGATTGTAATCACAATTGTACCTCCTATGTGCGCGACTAATTGTCATACTCCCTTCATTTCAATGAATAGAGACATGCATGTGTTTTAAGTTTAAATTTGATCATCAATTTAATTTATTATATGTGGATTATATGTGACGAAAGTTTATCATTGATTTGTATTTGAAAGGAGTTTTCAGTGGTATGATTTAGGGTCACATAACTTATAACTAATTTGAAGTCAAAATTGAAATTTAAAAGGCATGCACACCTTATTCATTGGAATGTACTAGTGTAAAAACGCTACGAATGGAGTAGGTAGCAGACATGGTGTTAGACATCTGCAGTCGTGGCGCCTCTGAGTTCGAACGTGAGCTCCGCGCAATCTGACGTGTGGTGAATGTCATCTGATTTTCTAAGCTACCGGAGGCGACAAGCACTGTCCTCTTCGACCATTGCGAAGGATTCCTGCTGATGGCGAGTTACTTGTTCCCAACGGTGGCGGTGCTCAAACGACGTGATTGCTTTCTTTACTTAGATATAAATTGGTATCATTTCCACATAAAATCAGGACTTCATTGGTCGCTCCTTGTAACTATGTAATGTACTATTTTTCATCAATTTAGAAACTTTTAGGCCCGTGGGCCTTTCCCCCTAAAAATATCTTTTGGTGTACTCTGAGACATGGGTCCGGCCCAGGGCATGCCTCTACCTCGCTCGACACTAGTTCGATGTTAGCCTCGCCTGAAGCGAGCGCTATACTGGACCAGCCCAGGCGTGTGGGAGGCCACTTCCTTGTCTTTTTTTCTACTTATTTTCACTTTTTTTGTTTTTTACTTTTCTTTATACTTCCAAATATTCTAAACATATATATTAGAAAATATATATTACGTATATTTTTTTAAAATGTTAGTCATGCATTTGGAAAAAAATATGTATAGAAAAATGGTTCTGATGCATACAAAAAATGTACAACGTGTATGGAAAAAAGTAGACATGAAAATAAGTTTTTAAATCTGTTAATATTTGTTGGAAATGATAAATATGTATATGAGAAATGTTCCTGATGTAAACGCAAATGTATAACATGAATTAAAAAATGTTCCTGATTTATGCCAAAAATATTGATTGTATATCGAATAAAATGTTGATAATATATTTCAATAAATGTTAAACATTTATAAAAATTGCTCCTAATGTATACCAAAAATGTTCAATGTGTATGAAAAAAGTAGTTATGAAACACACAAAAATTGAATAAGTGTTAATCATCTATTTCAAGAATGTTAAACGTGTACACAAAACTGTTACCGATGTATACAAAAAATGTAGAATGTCTATTAAAAACTTGACTATCAAAACATAAATTTTAAAAAGTGTTGATCATGTATAGAAAGATGCTAATCATATATTTCAAAAATGTTAAACATGCCTGAAAAAATGTTCCTGATATATACCGAAAATGTACAATGTTTATTTTTTTTAATGTTAATCATGTATTTGAAAAATATTAAACATCCATAAAAAATGTTTTCTGATGTATACGTAAAATGTAAAAATTTGTATAAAAATGTAGACATGTGTTGAAGGCAAAAAAAAGTGGTGAAAACCGAAGAAAGAAAGAAACACCTTAGAAACAAAGAAAAAAGAAAAACCCGAAGAAATCCGTGAAACCCCATGAGGGAACCAAGGAAAACAGAACAAACCAAAGGAAACTAAAAAATGATGAAAACTAATAAAGGAATAAAACAATGAAAATGAATAAAATAGGAAAGAAAAGTAAAAAACCAACAAAAATGGAGAAAGGAACAAAAGAAAACCGAAGAAAAAGAAGAAGAAAAGAAAGAAAAAATCAATAAAAACTGGACTAAAACAAAGGAAATGATGAAAAAAATAAGAAAATAACGTAGAAAACTGCGAAGGCACAAAGAACACTGAAAGAAAAAAGAGAAGAAAAAAGAAAAAAAATAGAAGAAAACCGGAGCAGAACCCACGAACCAAAGGATTGAGTGAAGAGAAGCTAGCGAGGAAAAAACAAAAATGGGCCGGCCCAGAAATAACGGGAAGAGGGAAACCCTCACGCGAGAGCTGCTTCCATCTCGTTTGAAGCGAGATATAGCTCTCGTGTCCAGTCCATGAGTAAATAGTTTTAGCCACATAGTATGCAGAAGCAAAATGGTCTTTCATGTCACACTTAATATTGTTAGTGGCCGAAGTGGATGGGATGTCACATAGGGAATAAGTTTTACACATTGTGTCAAATAAGGAAGAAATTTTCATTTGGGCCAAAAAGGAAGCACATTTTAAGAAAAGGCCAAATAAGGAATTTTGTCTATACGGAATTCCACCCTACACCCCTCCTTGGTATTTGAGTCGCCTCTCCCTTCTCTCTCCACCGCCGGGCCGGCTATCTAGGGCTACGCCCACCAATGCTCCCAAAGGGCGGAGGTGGTGGAGGCGGCGGCGCACGCGCATGGCCGAAGGTGAGGCACCAACCGGGCTGGTGACAGGGCCGGGGGAAGAGAAGACGGAGGCAGAGGTGGATGCGGGCTTCGAGTTCGCCTTCAATAACAAGGCCTTCTCCGACAGGGTCTTGCGGATAGAGGTCGTCGGCACTACCCGCAAGCGCCACCGCTATAAGGCTAAAGGTGCGTACATATCGGCACAGTAGTACCGTGCAACCCCATTAGTGTATCACTAGTAGATTATTGGTACCACACTACTCTAAGCACCCGATCTATGTGCGGATGTGTATGTATTTTCACCTGTCTGCATCAAAGTTATCGATCATATTATTATGTGCCTTTCTTTTGCAATCCAATTTCTCCCTCATGTATGCAAATTTGTCTTCTTTCATGTAATTATGACCTGGATTTATGGTGAATTTTCCACCTTATATGAGCAAGGAGGTGCGATGTTATTCTAAATGCAAGGGGGGTCTTTAAATACAAGGAGTGCAATTATAACAAATTCTAATAGAATCCTTGAGGTAACATTTATGATTGCTATTATGCTTGATGAATCTCAATGAGTGTCCAATTTTCCTGATATTTTATTTTTTCATGTGTATCTAAAGGTGATCAAATGAATCTGCACACATAGTGAATATGATGTTCCATACAATTTTAACAACAAAATCTTGTCTCGTAACTACGATATGTGCCTTCTTCTAGTTTTTTTATGTTTCTCTATATTTTTCTGAACTTGGCATTTTGCAGATAATGATGGAGAAGGTATTGACTCTTCTTGTGTTGTGATGGGTACGCCAGTGTTATGAGTCAAGACCATACATGTCAGTTCGGTGATCCTCGCCGCAAGAAGTTCTTTCTTTTTTAAGGTAATTCTGATGATCTTCTGAAATGCATTTGGTTTATAATCAGTTGACTCATATTTCTGATAAGCTTCATGCTTCTTAGCTTTTCTCAAATGGCGCGAAAAAATCTGGTCAAAGACAGTCAAAAATTAGAATTGCTGATTCAGGTAACTCATGTGTACGGTATACTCTTCCTCATCTTATTATAACCGATGATTCTAGTATGCTGTTGTGATTGCATTATTTACTCATGTTTTTTAATTCAAGCAATGTGATTATTGTAGAGAGGCCTGTTTTAGAGTTTCCTGCCCCATTTTTCTACTTTGATAATGAACTAGCTATTCTCGTTTCCTCTACAGACTTTGCCTACCAAATGTATATTTTCTCAGGCTTTACAAGTTTACTCAATTGACTATTGGAAGTCAATGCTCATACTTAAATAGCTATCTCTTCTATTTTACACTCCCTCCATTCCGCAATATATAGTGCATATAGAATTTTTTTCAAAAGTAAAACCTTGTAGACTTTGGCCATATAAATTGATGGAAATGTCAACACAAAAAATATCAAATAGATACAATATAAATTGTGCCTCATGACGTATATAATGATATTTATGTGGTATTTTAATTATAGATATTTTTATATATAAACTTGGTCAAAGTTCATGAAGTTTGACTTTTTGTAAAATATATACATGCAAAGTCATGAAGGGAAGGGGGGGGGGATCTAATTGTTACTGGCTGAGATTTATTACAATGTTCCATCAATCTTTATGGCTCCTTGCTTTCATTTTTACTTGGAACAGAGGAAAATGCCTTTATGGAGCTTTTACGCTTTATGTACAATGGAAAGTTGAGACCAACAACCGAGTCCAGTCTTCTGGTTGATATCTTGATGGCTGCTGACAAATTTGATATCGTTTCACGCATCAAGCTTTGCACTCAGCGGCTCATAGGCCAGCCTATGACCCTTGAATGTGCAGTGAGGTGCCTAGATCTCCCATGTTCCATTTCAATGGCAGCTGACCTATCAGAGGCAGCCAAGAAATTCCTTTCTGAAAGATACGAGAAATTCCTGTTAACAAAGTAAGTGACCCCATCGGATTGAGATACACTTTTCTTTTCTTGCTTTATTAGTGTACTTGTGGATATTGTTGTCACAAAATCATTATATGAAGGCATTACATGGTTTTGTTGCATTTCAGGTTCCAAGATGAATTGATGACGATTCCTCTCACTGGGATTGTAGCCATCTTATCAAGGAATCACCCTGGGGTTGCATCTGAAGAATCCGTCTATGACTTCGTGCTCAGGTGGGCCCATTTGCAGTACCCAAATTCAGAAGAAAGACACAAGATTTTGAGCTCAAGTTTACTTCCACTGGTGACACTAGGGCGTATCATGACCATTGCCATCCTAACTGACCAGTCATCTTGCGTAATTAACTTTAGTATAAAGCATGAGCACTGCCGCGGGCTCTTCCCATCAAGATCGATACGCTCGCCACCATTCTATTGTGCAGGGCATGGTTTCTTCCTCTCGGCGCTCGCTAAAACTGAGCCATTCAACTTTTTTGGTCTCTTAATAAAGAAGCTAGAAGGCAATGGCCCACTAAGGGGGACAATAGATTATGAGATGGAGGTAACGGCAAGGCGGTCGTCGGAGTTTGCCTCCATATCGAGGCGCACCACCACCACCGACATTAGACAAGCTTTTGGATGCAGGATTCCTTGGTCGGAGATCAGTGCTGATGATAGCCCCTTCTTTGTCGACGACAATCTCCATCTGCGAGTTCGCATCAAGATTACGCCGCAGCCATAGTGATGCATGCATTTGCTCTGCTCTCTTTTGGTGACCGGAAATGTAGCAATGTAGCATGTGAACATCTACAGTTGGATGATGAAGGTTTCATTGTGTCGTGGACTCTTATTACCAGACGCATAACTGTCAAACGCGCGCACGTGTGTTTTGATGTCCGACGAAGTCGCTGAACGGTTAACGTGCACTTCGTCGTGAGTCGGATTATGTGACCATCTGTTCATGGTTATGTTTGGACATTTTTTTTGTTCATGTCAGTTGATAAACTTATTACTGAGCCACTTTTTGTTTTCGTGAGCGAGAAGAAGCCCCTGTTCTTTTGACATAGTCATTTGCTAGCATCTGCTCTGCTCTTTTTTGATGACTGGAAATGTAGCAGTGTGAACATCCAGAGCCTGGTGTTGGAGGTTTCATTGTGTCACGTATTCTTACTAGTGAAGTCGCTGAACAGTTAATGTGCACTTTGTCGGTAAGTTGGCTGATACATGTCGCTGATGACTCTTTGATTCGATGGACTTATGATCCTTAGAATGAATATTTTGTGATCATCTGTTCATGGTTATCTTTGGTCATTTTTCAGTTCATACTCCATGGCAGTTGATAAATTTCTTAACAATGTGTGCCCTCAGGGCAAAATTCTGCTGTATAGTTCAATGTTGTTGCTTGCAATGTGTGCTCCCTGGAAACAGGAACTTCCACAGCACACGCCTTCAGAGTGAAACGCTCATGTATAAGTTGCAGCTTGAGCCTTTTAGTTTGGGAGTTCACCTTGGAAGAAACTCTCAACCATGGTCGTTGATGTGTGATTATCTAGAAAGAGTTAAAGAAAGGAAATAAACAGGTTCTTCAGAAAAGTACACAACCGCTGCGGATACTGCTTGTTCGTCACTCTGAACTCTGAAGTGCAATGTGGTAGATACTCCCTCCGTCCTATAATACAAAAGCGTTTTTTATACTAGTGTATTGTCAAAAATATTCTTATATTATAGGATATTATGGGACGGAGATAGTAATAATCAAGACAAAGAAGGTGACAAGATATGAAAATCCTAAATTTTAAGAACGTGTTTGGTTGCCCGCATAGAGCCTAATCAGGCCCGCGCGGGAAGCAAGAAGCCTGTTTGGTAGCCCGCATACACTATTGGGCCTGCATTACACACTTCTTAAAGAACCTCCGTGCCTGGCTGGCTGGAAGCACAAGAATCGGCAGTTTCTGTGGAGCCAGGCCGAGCGAAAGCGCAGCAAGCGGGCCCCTGCACCAGGAGAAACTGGAGGGATGTGGGGTGTTTACCTGGTGTCTTCTTCAACCTCCATTAAGCTCCTCTCTAATCTCCTCTCTTCCATGCCCCTCTAATCTACACAACGATGCTTCGATTCGTGGTAAGCTCTACACGAAAAAGATGCACATCGATACTACGGTTCCATTCAGGCGATCGGTTCGTAGTTTCTTCGGCCGTAAGTTCTTAATCTCGTGTTCCCGTTTGGAGCTATTCTGGACGAATTTTGTTAGATTCGTCGCGCACGATCGATCATTTGAAATTTCCTTTGACCAGCAGCCTAATCTCGTAGTTCCTCACAACATTCGTGTTGTAAATTTTTGATTTCGATGATCATACCTTCATCTCTCTTTGAATAGCAGTCTACTGCACTGACGCCGTCATGTCGAGCTCCTCTGCTCAGAGCCCTCCTATTCGTCCCTCTCGACGCCGAAAAATCTTCCCCTTGATCTCCTTGCCCGCGTGCTACTACACTAGAGTCGTTTCTGGCGTTGCTCATCTCGGCCTATTCTCTGCCGTCCTCCTACTACCCTGACGCTGCAATGGCGCGCACACTGCTTTTTTGTGTCCTCTGCCTCCGTGCACACTGCAGTTCGCCGCGCCGCTGACAGGGTCGATCATCTTCTCCTCCTCTCTCTCGTCCTACTACACCGGAGTTGTTTCCGGCGTCAATCATCTCTGCCTCCTCTCTCGTCCACTGCACTGACGATAGCACGGCGCGAGCACTGCATTCTCCTCCTCTGTCCAGCGAGCATTGCAACTAGTTCGCTGACGGTGTCGCTCGCCGTGCCGCCAACGGGGTCGCTCGTTCACGACTCCATGCTTGTCATGTCGGACACGGCACCACGGCCACTATCCACTGTAGTCGCCATTGTCCGGCGCACACTGCACTTCTTCTCCCCTTCCCTCTGCTAGCTCTTAACCCTGTCTGCTAAGTGAAGTGCTAGCTCTTAATCATACCTCATGCATGCAACCAAACACCGAGTTCATGTGCCGCTTGAGCCAATGCAGGCAACCGAACAAAGTGCACTTGCGTATTACGTAATGCAAAGACCCTAGATGCAGGTAACCAAACAACTCGCAGATGTCACATATGAGGCTGTTTTTTCGGAACCAGGCTAGGTTGAGATGTGTATGCAACGCAACTACTATTCACTACAGCAACCAAACACGCCCTAAGTGATCGCTACTTCACATCAAAAGCTTAAGAGGATCAAATTCATACAAGCGCATTTCCCAACTTCCAAATAGGGCGGAAATGAATCATCGACCTGAAAAATCTGGCAGAAAAAAACCAATATTGACATTGTTGTATCTATGTCAAAGTTCCATGGAATGATCAATAAATATATACTATACTATATACGATGCTCTCTAATTTTAAAGGCCTCGCAATCAATCAATTGAGATCTTCAATTTAAAATTGGGTCATTCGATTTTGAGCGGATCAACGATTTCTCAAGGAGCTCCATCATTTAATTCTTTTATTAATACATCTTTAATTTGGAATTGGATAATCTGATTTTGATCGGGTCAACGATTTCTCAAGGAGCTCTCTCTTTCAATTCTTTTAGTACACTATGCTCCATAATTTTTAAGGCCTTGCAATCAATTGAAGTCTTCAATTTGAAACTAAGTCATCCGATTTTGACTGGGTCAACGATTTATCAAGGAGCTCCCTCATTCTTTTAATACACTATTTCTCTTATTTCTCAAGAATTGATGCATTGATGCAAGACTTTGACCTTTAATATGTCTATAAGATTAATATAAATGATATCCTCGTATTTATTTTGCAAAACAATTTTTTTATTTGTCTTTACACTAATTTTATAGACATAGAGTAAGTGAGAATCATTGTGCCTTGTATTTATTTTGGAAACAAAAGCCCTTTCTTTCCCGCCTCGATATTCGAGTTTGGGAGGAGTGAGCGCGCGCCCGCGGTCAAAGTGTTTCGCCACTGGCACACGGCGAGGTCACATCATCCATCAATGGCGTGGCGTCCGACCTCCCCTCCCCCCTCTCTCTCTCTCTCTCTCTTATTAGTGGAGCACCTCTCTGTCCCAAGGTCCACAACAGCGCCCCCAGCCTTACCCACTGCCTCTCTCTCTCCATTTTACCTTCTCCCTCCGCCGCCAGCTAGGGTTACGGCCGCCGGGTGGCGCAGCTCAACAATACCTCTCACAGCGCCGGTGGGTGGCGGCGACGCGTCGACTGGGGGCGCGGGGCCAGGGCCAGAGGTGGACGCGGGCTTCGAGTTCGCCTTCGACAATGAGGCCTTCTCCGACAGGGAGCTGCGTATAGTGGTCGTCGGCGCCAACGACGCCGCCAGCCGCAAGCGCCAGCGCGAGGAGGCCGAAGGTGCGTACTTACAGAGGCATAAGTACCATTACTCATTAAGTGGATTCTAGGTGTCACGCTAAACTAACTGCCCGATCTACGTGCGTATATCCGGATTCGATACTGTATAAGTGTATATAGAAAGTATCTTTTTTAAGCTTTAGATTTCAAGGTGTTGAGATTCTCGGACATGGTAATATTTTCAGAACAACATCTCAGAATAGAATAAAATTCAGAACACCAGTTACCAAATAGTATATGTTGTCTGTACCTCCAATTCAAATGCAGCAATTTTGTAGTCACATATAACATACTCCCTCCGTCCCATGAATAAGATGTTATTACATCCAATAGATGTAATAACTTCTTACATTGTGGGACGGAAGGAGTATTTGATTATTTGGATGTAGCAGTGGCGGACAAACTACGTTATACCATTCAAGTTGAGAATTGCCATTGGACAACTAAACGGATTTGGAATGATTTGTATGTTTATTGGTCTGCAGGCTCGGGAGATTCGTACTTGTTAATGGTAGTTATGTGTGATTCCTGTACCTTGATGCTTCAGACCTTAGTTTACAGGAACAAGCTGATCAATTATTTCACATCTTTTGCATGAAAAATGATATTTGCCTGATTGCTACATTGAATCTGCTATGTTTATATCTCTAAATATAGCATCCAAAGGTTAGAAGAACAGATTTATCACAGGTGTTATTTCTGGAATATGTGAACTTGGATATGAATAAGCAAGTGTCATCCTTCATATATCTACTGAACATTAGTTTGTGAGTTGTTTTGTATGAGCAAGTGTCATCCTTAATGGTTAAGGAGTTCCCTGTTCCACATTTGAAGTAAACATTAGTTCATGTTTTGTCTTTGGTTCACCTCAGTTTCCTTTGTTTTTGCATTGAAACATTAAAGGTCATAAATTAGCTTCCTGATAATCACTTTCTTCTAAGTAGTACAAACATATATTGACTGTGGTACACACTGGTGGTGTGTTGATACAGTAATTGCACAGTCTGTTGATAAACTAGGTAGTACTTGATTGCTTGCTTCTTCATACGAGCAACATACTATTTTTTTTGACGCGTGAGCAACATACTATTTACAACCCAATCCTGGCGAGATACAATTCTACTGCTTCTTGTTGCTTTAGAGGTATGAAATACATATTAATTAGATAAAAGAAGATAACAATACGAGACTTAGTCTGGTATTATCACACACATGCTTGATGCAGCTCAATGGGTATCCAGTTTTTCATATGTTTAAGATTTTGCCATGTTTCTAAAAGTTGATTTAATAAATGTGCGCACATAGGGAGAGTGACTGTATGAGGTTCCAGTTTTAACAAAAAAAACATGTCTAGTAATTCTGTTA